AGCGAGAACTGTCAGCTCTTTATCTAATCTCCCATAATGTATCTTTAAACATTTTAAAAGTAGTTTATAAACAAATGATACTGTTTTTCGTCCCCCTTTCATCATGCTTAGAAATAACATGCTTAGAAATAACATATTATCAATTCTGCCAAGAAATTAAATCTAAATAATGCTATTCGCGCTCCTTTTCCTTCAATCACGAATGATATTTTTGTAACAATTTTGTTTGGAAATGAGAAATAAAATTGGGTTTAACGTCCTATTGTTCTGCACCGACTGGGCTAATGAAGACTGGCATAGGCCATAGGATGTGTTATGAGGGAAATTTGTCCGGAAAGCGGCACTACGGCCTACTGTTATATCGATTCTCCGGGTCATCCGGTTCCCCCCACTGCTAAAGACCCGTACGCGCAAGCTAATTATTGAAATAAAAATTGATCTATATGTTAGTCCAGAAATGACCTAGTTTGTGTCGAGTGGACGTTAAACCCCCCTCTCTCTCTCTTCCTTCATACATGACCTACATTTGTGAATATTTAAAAAATGTACGCATGTCATCCTATCCACGAGAGATAATATTTGATAAGTAAACGGATCTATTAATTTCAAATAAGCGTGGCCCGAGGACAGGGAGTCGCATAAACTTACGGTACAAGTTGAAGAGGCTTGAGATGTTTTGGTTGAGCTCGGGTTTCCGGTCGACAACATGTGTTGAGACCACACGAGGAATAATTAAAGTGAAAATGAACACTAAATAAATAGAAAGTATCTGTTGTGTACGATTATTATAAAACGGTTTTCATTTTCTATTTATCTATAATTATTATGAAAAAGACTTGATCGTTTTAACACCCTTGCGTAACCCTTTTTCTCCCCGTATAATTATTGAGAGAGAGAGAGAGAGAGAGAGAGATGAGGTTTAACGTCCACTCGACACTAGGTCATTTCGGGACAAACATATGGTTTAATTTTATTTCAATAATTCGCTTAGGGGTCTTTAACAGAGGGAGAATACCGGAGAACCGAGAGAAAACCCACGAGGTTGGACAGGCAACCCTAATCCTTGTCATGTACAACCGGGGATTCGAAACCACGCCAGTTGACTCAATGATAGGCCTTATGATACAGCGAGCACGTGCTAACCATTCGGCCATCCACCCCCAGAGAGAGAGAGAGAGGGGGTCACATTTACATATTGGCGTGCACGTAAAAGATCCCTTATCAGTTGGAATCTGATATGAGTGTAAGCCGTAGTGACTCTGTCCGGGCAAAATTTCCCCCATGACACACTGTGCAGTATAGCGAGAGAGACGCAAACTAGATCATTTCGGGACTAACATATGCTTCAATTTCATTTCAATAATTCGCTTGCGCGTAGGTCTCTTTAGAAGTGGAAGGAAACCAGTCAACCTATTCCTATCTATAATCATATGAAAAAGACTAATGGTTTTAACAACTTTGCGTATCCTTTTTGCCTCAAATATATACTTATTTAAACATACATTATGCAAGAGCTAAATCTGCCTACCGCAGGTCTTTCTTTAGGCCTGAAATGTTATCTAAATTATTAATTAGATATTAATTAACTTATCCAGGCTATAATCAACTCTCGATGGCATGGGATTTCTCCGATATTAAATAGATTAGAACAGTTCAGCCATTTGATTTAAGCTAAATATAGTTAGCTTCGAACAACCAGTACGGTGGTTGAAATTATTGCACACGTCTTGTCAAACCTATCTTCGCTCGCAATAGAGTAATTTGAATGAAATTTTCAAATTATTCATTTTACATTATCTATTTTCGAACTATTATAGCAAGAATGGCTAGCTCTTTATCTAAATCTTACATAATGTATCTTTAAAGGCTCAATACCACTCTTGTTGTAACTGAATAATATGTCCCAATCTTTATTCTGGTCAACAAATTGTACTATTTTAGAATATTTCAATTAATTGATGATACAAATTTCATCTTAACACACCTTATTTAAAAATTTTGAAAAATTCAACATAATGGTTTGAAACGTCTAACGTAAACCTAGTACTTAGATAGAGATATTATTTATTTTCTGGAGCTTTCAAGCCAGCAAGAGTGTTATTGTCCCTTTAAAGGACTATTGTAAGACTGTTATTTGATTTAAAATAATCGCATCGTTAAATTCCGATACGCGTTGCAATATATTGTAAATAAGATCGCAAGAGAAAAAAAACAACCCTACTTTTCATACATCACGCTTCCATAGAAACAATTTGTGGAATTTTGCAAATGAAATTTAGAAATTTGAATGCCGTTACTGCCGATGATAGAACGTGTGTTTTAATGCAAATGGAATAAGTTTATATTTCGAAGGAAAATCCGTGACAGTGATTGTTATCTCATATAACTGTGTTAGTTTTGTTGTTAGGTTTCCAGTCGCTAAATGCCACTAAAGGATTAAAGTCTGACATATTATATCATTCCAAACTTTCTCTGGTGAAGTGATTTGTGGTATAACTATGACCGGATTGTCGAATTGTACTAATTGTATTTGAAATAAAATCTATGCTGTATATTTAATTATTTCCTGTATTTGATCAATGTTAAAAGTGTCCAATTAACACGTATGATTCATTTGATATTACAATTAGTTTTAAACCTACATTATGACGTCACATTAATAATGACGTCATTGTAATAATCATTTTAAACATACATTATGCAAGAGCTAAATCTGCCTATTGTAGGTCTTTCTTTAGGCCTGAAATGTTATCAAAATTATTAATTAGACATTAATTAAGTTATCCAGGCCATAATCAACTCTCGATGGCATAGGATTTCTCCGATATTAAATAGATTAGAATAATTCATCCATATTTAGATTTGAGCTACAAATGGAGGAGCGAGACTTAGCTTCGAACAACCAGTACGGTGGTTGAAATTATTGCAAACATCTGGTCAAACCTTCAAAGGCTAATATCTTCGCTCGCAATAGAGTAATTTGAATGAAATTTTCAAATTATTCATTTTACTTTGTCTATTTTCGAACTATCATAGCAAGAATGGCTAGCTCTTTATCTAAATCTTACATAATGTATCTTTTAGAAAGCACGCTGTAAACTTCGTAGGCGCAATTATAGCCCATTTGGTGAAGACCTGCCATTAAGGACCATTCCTAACCTTTAATTCATTCCATAGTTCATTTTAGTTCATCAGTGATGTAGGGCGGAGGGCTTGAAGGGGATAGCTGTCTAGTCGTTCGGACGGGACAAAGAACGAGGTCCCGTGTACTCATTGGCGTGCACGTAAAAGATCCCTTGGCAGTTGGAATTCAATATAAGAGTAGGCCATAGTGCCGCTGTCCGGGCAAAATTTCCCTCATAGCAAACTGCATGTTTTCATTAGCCCAGTCGGAGCAGAACAGTAGGACGTTAAACCCCATTTCATCTTATTTCATCTTAATATGTACGTTTTAAGCTTTGATTTATTCCAAGTCTGTTGCGCAATTTAGTTCATCTTGGTCCAGTAGTAAAAGCCCATACATTAAATTAGTGACGTCGCCATAAACAAGTTCCTTGCCGGCTGAATCTAAGGGTGTGAAATCTAGTAAAGAAAGAGGGAGTGAAGGGGGATATAACGGCCACTTGACACAAACTAGGTCATTTCGGGACTAACATATGGTTCAATTTTATTTCAATAATTCGCCTGCGCGTAGGGGTCTTTAGCAGTGGCAGGAAACCGGAGGACCGAGAGAAAATCCACGAGGTTGAACCGGCGACCATACTCCTTGTCACGTACAGCCGGGGAATCGAAACCATGCTATTTGACTCAATGACAGACTTTATGATACAACGCGCATGCGCTAACCATTCGGCCCCACCCCCACCAACCTTCGTTTGCATTGGACGAAAGGTCGGGGTAACGTGTACAAGTTGGACTGCATGTAGAAGAACCCTTGGTAGTTTTGGAATTCGACGAAAAATAGTCGCAAGCCCCGCTGTCCGAACAAAATTGCTTTCATCGGGTTTAAACTCCTGCCTTTCTGCAGCAAGACGGACATACGCTATGCGGCACATTTTGCCCGGACAGCGGCGCTACTCTAATTTCGAATGTCAACTGTTCGTGGTTTTTTTAGGCCAATGTATGCACCAGGCTTCGGTTTCGTCGTCCCATCCTAGACTCTGTTCCTTATCAAGGCCTACGTCTTGAACTACCGACAAAGGGGACTCAACACCAAGATCGACGGCATGGACGTCCTGCTCAATGAGCAAGCGTCTACTCACTTAGCCACATTGGCTCCCGATATAATATGATTTTATCCAATATTCACTGCGACACTCCCCTAAGACGCAAACAATTTTATCAAGAGAGAGGGAGAGAAATGGGGTTTAATGTCCACTCGACACAAACTAGGTCATTTCGGCACTAACACATGGTTTAATTTTAGTTCAATAATTCGCTTGCGCGTAGGGGTCTTTAGCAGTGGGAGGAAACCGGAGGACCCGGAGAAAACCCACGAAGTTGGACAGGCGACCCCAATCCTTGTCACGTACAACCGGGGATTCGAATCCATGTCAGTTGACTCAATGACAGGCCTTATGATACAGCGCGCTCGTGCTAACCATTCGGCCATCCAACCCCCCATTAATTTATCAAGAACTCTTAACGAAAGAAAAAATTACATAACCCAAATGATACTGCTGTTTTCAGTGGTTTCGCTTCCCCGGTTGTACGTGACAAGAAATAAGGTTGCCTGTCCAACCTCGTGGGTTTTCTCCGGTTCCTCCGTTTTTATCCCACCGCTTAAGACCCCTACGCGCAATCGAATTATTGAAATAAAATTAAACAATATGAAATGACCTAGTTTGTGTCGAATGGACATTAAACCCCTCCCTCTCTCTCTCTCTCTCTCTCTCTCTCTGCCGCTTTAAACCGCGGTTTTCACATTCGTCACTCTACAGCTGTTTTATAGTAAGTCGTTGTAGTAAAACATATTTTAAATCGAGGTTTCATTACACGGGTTGCTCTCGCTCGCTGTATATGTATATTACTGAACGCGGAGCTCAGTATCTGCCATTCACACGCCAACTTCGGCCTTACAAACTTTTATACATGTCTATACGCTGACCTTAGGTAACCTAATGGTAAGGTTACGTTGAATAATCGCAGGAAAACTTATTTAGAAAAGAAAATGTGTCGGTGAATGGTTATATTTTTTTAGTTAAAGTGTTTGTATGTGTAGATGATATAGACCAACAACTTTAGGCCGTGTATAATGTTTTCTAAGACTTGTAGAGGAAATGAGATAATAGTGTGGTTGATGTTTATTTTTTGTGTGAAATATACACTGGGTTATGATGAATGGAATGGGTAAGTCAATATTTACATAGGTATATACATAGTATATTATATATAAGTATATGTTATGTCTGGGGATAGGTTTATATTATGTCTCGGTGTATGTAATGATATGAGAGGGAGAGAGAGAGAGAGAGAGAAAGAGAGAGAGAGAGAGAGGGAGATGGGGTTTAATGTCCACTCGACACAGACGAGGTTATTTCGGGACAAACATGGTTTTAATTTTATTTCAATAATTCGCTTGCGCGTAGGGATCTTTAGCAGTTGGATAAGCGATCCTACTTCTTGTCACGTACAACCGGGGAATCGAAACCACGCCAGTTGACTCAATGACAGACCTTATGATACAGCGCGCACGTGCTAACCATTCGGCCATCCAACCCCCCATGTAATGATATGGATAAAAGTATACAAAATAAGAAATATTCTTAATACCAATTGATTCGATTTATTGCAGACTTAACGTCCAATACAATAGATATGATATTATGGACAGGTTGCTTTAATTAAATTATTTACACTTAAATTAAAGGGTTGAAAATTGGTAAAAACACAAAAATAAAAAAAAGTCCTTACCTTAAAACACACTTATAAAATCGCTGTCGTGAAAAGAGAGGGTGGGTCTTCTCTCTTAGTCATAATAAAAACAAATTAAAAAAGTTGTCCAGCTGACTGATGTTTGGCGGATAAAAAAAAACCGTGGAGGAAAAGGATCCGCTTGCGTTATGTGATTGGATTAAGATATTAACATACGTACATACGTATATACCTACCATATGTCTGGGTATATGGATGTTTACAATATGTAATCATATGGATAATAACATACAACATTATTAATATTCTTAATACTAATTGGTTTGATTAAGACAATTATAGTAGTAATATTATAAATACTAATTGGTTCGATTAAGACAATGGTCGTAGTAATATTTTTAATACCAATTGGTTCGATTAAGACAATGGTAATAGTAATATTCTTAATACTAATTAGTTCGAGTAATATTATAAATACTAATTGGTTCGATTAAGGCAATGATGGTAGTAATATTCTTAATACTAATTTGTTCGAGTAATATTATAAATACTAATTGGTTTGATTAAGACAACGATATTAGTAATATTCTTAATACTAATTGATTCAATTAAGACAATGATAGTAATATTCTTAATACTAATTGATTCGATTAAGACAATGGTAGTAATATTCTTAATACTAATTGGTTCGATTAAGACAGTAAAATAAGTTCTATTCTTAATACTAATTGGTTCGATTAAGACAGTAAAATAAGTTCTATTCTTAATATTAATTGATTTGATTAAGATAGTGACTCCGAAAGTGTGTGTTCGTTAGAGATGAAATTTAAGGATATTTAAGCCCATGACGTACCAGTTAAACACAAGCGAAGTATTGAAATAAAATTGAACTATATCTTAGTTCCGAAATGACCTAGTTTGTGTCAAGTGGACGTTAAACCCATCTCACTCCTCCACCCCCTCTCTCTCTGTCTGGGTGTCTGTCTCTGTCTCGGTCCCCCCCCCCCTATCTTTCTGTCTCTATCTCTCTCTCTCTCTCTCTCTCTCTCTCTCTCTCGTCTCTCTCTCTCTCTCCGCCAATTCGAATACGATCGACCTGAAACTACTAGACACTGTTCCTTGCACAACTGACGGGGGGTTGCCGAATGGTTAGCACGTGCGCATTGTATCATCAGGTCTGTCTTTGAGTCAACTGGCGTGGTTTCGAATCCCCGGTTGTACGTGACAAGGAGTAGAGTCGGCTGTCCAACCTCGTGAGTTTTCTCCGGATCCTCTGGTTTCCTCCCCCTGCTAAAGACCCCCTACGTGCAAGCGAATTATGGAAATAAAATTGAACCATGTGTTAGTCCCGAAGTGACCTAGTTTGTGTCGAGTGTACGTTAAACCCCATTTCTCTCTCTCCCCTGTTAGATAGCAGGTAAAGTAGGTCAATTTTCAAGGAAACAGACGACTGTTCTCAATCTGAACAACAGATCCACCGTACGGATTGTTCGCTCACTATATTGTTTAGACTGTTCTGTTAATTGAAGGCATTATTTCTCTCCTGCTGCCTTTGAAGTGCATTCCTTAATTCACAGAAATTTGAAAAGCTAGACATTAAAATCAGACAATACACTGGTGTTTACATACAATGTATCAGACATGGGGGAGCCACGTTGGCTCAGAGGGTAGCACGTTGGCTCGCTAACCCATAGGTGGTGTGTTCGATCCCTGCTTTGGCCTAGAATTAAAGTTCATCGGGATCACAGACTTTCACATCCATAATATTATATGGTAAGACCAGATTGCATCTTTTTTTCTTTAAAAATACATTATGCAAGAGCTAAATCTGCCTATTGCAGGTCTTTCTTTAGGCCTGAGATGTTATATAAACTATTAATTAGACATTAATTAACCTATCCAGACCATAATCAACTCTCGATGTCAACGCTAGCCTGCGATAATGGTTGGATTATGATTCGATTTGCTGCATAACTTTCCTTCTCGATTTAACGATTAATTGGATAATCGAGACTATGATTTTTGTCGTACCGACTTTAGTAATGATGACCGAGGCTATGCGGAACTTTCGATCGCTTATTTCTCGGTTCATAGTGGATCAATTTGACTGAAATTTTCAGCAAATTGCCTTTACATTATCTAGTTTTTAACTATTATAGTGAGAACTGCCAACTCGTTATCTAATCTCCAATAATGTATCTTTAAATAGGAATATTGTGGCGAACAATGTTAAAGAATGGGAGCCACGGTGGTTCGGTGTGTAAGACGTCGGGTTGTTTACCTGGCGGTCCCGTATTCGATCCTTACGTTAGCCGAGAAAGTTTATCGGTTTGGTTTTCCTCTGGTCAGTGGTGCAGGACAGGGGGTCAGGCAAGGGACGATGTATAGTCGTTCGGTGTATGTTCGAATGTGCACGTAAAGGAACCACTGAAAGATGGAACTCGAAATAAGAGTATGCCATAGCGCCGTTGTCCCAACTGCATGGCGCATGCCCTTATCCATTAGCCCAGTCGGTGCAGAAAAGTAGGATTTTAGTTAAACTCTTATTCATTTCATTTCACATTCATAGTTTCGGCTAATTCTAAGATAGTAAAATTCATACGGATAATTTGAAAAAGAAAAGATTTAGCGATTTACATTTCAAAATTCCACACCTATAGATTCAGCCAATTTAAGATAACCAGACCCAGACGAATAATTTTAAGTGGAAATCCAGAACAGTAGGACGTTAAACCCCATTTCATTTCATTTGCTTTTATTTAAGTTTTAGTTTTGACAAAAGCTTATATAATTTTGTGAATAAATATACATTTCTATATTTCTTAAAACAAGTATGTTTCTGAAACTAGACAGAAAAATTATCTATTTTATTATTTCCCTTCGGAGACTAATATAGTCGTGTCAATGTAGAGAAATGCAGCCGAAGAGACGTTTCCAAATAAATATATGAGCCTTCACTACCAAAGAAAAGAAAATGAAATGGGGTTTAACATCCTACTGTTACCATACAGTGTGTTATGAGGAATAGTTTGCCCGGACAGCGGCACTACCGCCTACTCCTATATCGAGAGAGAGAGAGAGATAGAGAAAGAGAGAGATGGGGTTTAACGTCCACACGACACAAACTAGGTCATTTCGGGACTAACACTTGGTTCAATTTTATTTCAATAATTCGCTTGCGCGTAGGGGTCTTTAGCAGTGGGGGGAAACCGGAGGAACCGGCGAAAACCCACAAGGTTGGACAGGCGACCCTTCTCCTTGTCACGTACAATCGGGGAATCGAAACTTGGCCATTCTACCAAAGTAAACCAAACTGTTTAACCTTGCATACCTCGTTTAAAATACACCCAGAGAGAAAACCTCTGTTGCCCTTTTTTTTAAAAGAAGAAAATGAATAGGGTTAAAGATTTTTTTTTTATGAAATAGATCATAAAATATATAGGTTTTGTTCGGAGTCATTGATGCGTAACACATCATATCATAGTTCACGCTTTCATAAAGTTATATAGGCCCGACAGATCAGTATAATACTTATACATATTCTACTTAGTAGGTTTACCTGTAACTAGGGTATACCTCCACTGAGAGAGAGAGAGAGAGAGAGAGAGAGGAGGGAGGGGTTTAGACGTCCACTCGACACAAAGCAAGTCATTTTGGGACTAACATGGTTCAATTTATTCAATAATTTGTCTGCGCGTAGGGCTCTTTAGCAGTGGGATCTATTGTCGGACTTATTTGCTAGGTTCTAAGAGTTCGGATGGGACGAAAAACCGAGGTCCCGTGTACGCATTGTCGTGCACGTAAAAGAACCATTGACTGTTGGAAGAGGAGGGCGTAGCGAAGCTGTCCGGGCAAAATTTCCCTCATAGCAGCCCGCATGGTGCATGGTCGTTTTCAGTTATTTCATTACAGAGAGAGTGGGCAGTATTAGTGTAGTATATATAATGTCATTTGGATATACATATCAATGGGAGGTGGGAGGGGGATGGGGTTTAACGTCCACTCGACATCAACTTCACCTTTATTTCAATAATTCGTTTGGTATACTTGAACTGGTATAAGGATGTGAAATGAAATTGAGTTTATGGTTATTTGTTGTACCTCAACCGGGAGCCACGGTGGCTAGGTGGGTAAGGCGCTGGCTCGCTAGCCTGGAGGTCGGGTGTTCGATCCCTGCATTGGCCGAGAAAGTTCATCCCGATTTTCCGACGTGGTTTCCCCTTATCAGTGATGCAGGACGGAGGGCCTGACAAGGACAGCTGTCTAGTCCTTCGGATGAGACGAAAAACCGAGGTCCCGTGTAAACATTGGAATGCACGTAAAAGTCAACTTGGCAGTTGGAATTCGATATAAGAGTAGGCGATAGTGCCGCTGCCCGGGCAAAATTTCCCTCATAGCACACTGTATGGCGTATGCCCGTCATCATTAGCCCAGTATAGGAGCAGAACAGTAGGACATTAAACCCCATTTCATTT